GCGAGGGTCGCGTCTGCTCTGCCAAGAGCGACGGGGCCAAGGGTGGTTTAGCAATGGGGAAAAAAAGGAACCGGACTCCAACGTGGGCTGTTCACAGAGGGAACCGCCCAGAGGAAGTTTCCGGGCACCGTAACCCTAGAGTGGAAGTAGAGACACTCTAAATATTACTGTCAAAAAGAAAAGAAAGACAGGCTTTGCCATCTTTAGGGGAACAGTGGGGGGGCTCTGCTGATCCTTTATGGCAAGTCTGATTAAGGAATGATGCATCCAACAAAACTTAGTTTTCATTTGTTTTATTCCAAAAGTACTTCATTAAAAATGGTTTAAAAACATTATACACAGGTGTCTCAGTTTCTCAGAGTGCTGTCTCTCCATTGACTAAAAATACAAAACTAGAAAACTCTTTCTTCTCTCACACAGTTCTTTTCCGCAGAAGCCAGGCTCTTTCAATGCCCCAATCTGTTTCCGTGGCAGGCTGGGATAACCCAGGCACCAGTCAAGTAACCAGCGTGCTGCTCCAGCAACTGGCACGTGTGTAACAGGTCTGGCCACTACGTCCCTGTAGCAGAGCCTGGCAACGCTGCGAGGCTTCTGTGCGAGCACGTACGTGTGTACATGCACTTAAGTGTTATTGTTCCTTGTAGTGTTTTCACAGAATCATAGAACGGCTTGGGTTGAAAAGGACCTTAAAGATCATCTAGTTTTATTCTCCTCCGATCCAAACTGACCACAGAGGAGACCGCGAGCTGTTGCTGCCATTCTGTTCCATTAATGTGCTGCTTCCTATGCCTTGAGGCCACTTTATCATCAAGGGTGCTCACCTGGGAGGCAGCGTCCCTCCCGGGATCCCGTGCTGCTGCCCACACTCTTCTGAGCACCTGTCTGGATGCCAGAGAAGATGCTGCTTCCTACCAGGCCTCTCAACTTGGGGGCCACAGAGCATTTCAGAAATTGCACTCCCTCCGGGCTGAGCAGCCTGTAGTGGGCATAAATACAGTCAGTGCAAGCAACCTGTGACTGAACTCAAAACGAGTAATGTGAGGAGTAGCTGCCACTGTGTGGCTGAAGACATTCCCTCAACCAGACTGAAGGAGGTGAGGAGTGTAAGAGCTGTGGGACAGAAACGCAAATATTGAAGTGAGCAGAGGCGTTACCAGCCCCCCCCCAAAAAAACAAAAACCAAAACAAAACAAAAAAAACCCCACCCCAAACCAAACAACAACCCTAGAAAGACTACAGAAGAGGATCAGAGCAGAAAATGTGTGAATATCTGGAAAAATAAGATCTGGAATCTACGTAATCTACCTCTGCATATACTTTCTCTGGGTTGTTAAGGGTCCTAGGATGTCTGTCCAGCCGGCTGGTGAGAGCTCATTAACAGGGTTCAGTTCTTCGTGGCTGTGTGAGCGGGCATCCAGCTTATCGGATGAACCATCTTCATCTCAGTTGCCAGCTGCTTGACTGTCTGCTACTCAGGCTTAGCACTGTAGCAACATCATCATCACTGCCCACTCCCCTGTGAGGTAGCTAGTTCAACTGTGCAAGGATCATTTGTCCTTTCAGTGGCAGATCAAAGCCTTACCATCAACCTCTAAAAACCTGACATAAACATAAGCTCTAAGCTATCTAAAAAGGTTACCCCAAATCCCAGTACCTGCTCCTGTCAGAGAACACCTAATATCCCAAGAGCTATCACACAGGTGAGAAAACATTGACCATTTGCCAAAAAAGGAGGGGCCAGTATCTCCCAGCTGAGTGTAGCTGACCGTCTGTGTACCTTGCTCATGAGTAGAGGACTTGGTAAAAAGTCCAGTTAAAAGTAACAGAAAGGCTTCTCATCAACTGAATGGGATTTAGGATCATTCTGAGACAGGTAGCAATTAAGTCCCAAATGCTAACAACCCTCTTCCAGACATGAGCATAACCACCCTACTGAACAATCACATTCCAACATTCTACTTAACATCCTTACAGCAACAGTACAACCAGGTCCCACTGTATGGGAACAATTCCAAAGTTAGCCTATTGCTGTTCTCTTAGTTCTAGTGTAAAGGATAAGAAGTCTGAGAGAACAAGAAAGAAGATACACTGATCTTCAAATTTCCACAGAGATCAGTTTGAGCTGAAGAGAAAAACAGAGAAGTCTCTACAGTTCTGTTTTCAGCCGTTCAGGAGCGATCTCGCTGTAGCTCTTCCTCCTTTTCACTTTGTAAGTCAAGGCTTGGGAATATTCAGACAGCAGATGCTCCCAGTAGCAAGACACATCCTCCATCTGCAAGTGCTCCGTGATGAACTGGCGTCCCCTAGAGACATACAAGGCACAGTCAGAAACAATTTCCAGTTCCTACAAGAGTCTTTGGTTTTGTTTTATATGTATATCAACTTTCAATCTTCTCTGCTTCAAATGAGAAAAAACATGCACTGCTCTGTACCGTCTATTTTAATTACACTATTTTTATTCACACTCACAGCTCTGACAGTTGCAGTGCTTTTGTTATCCTCAAGATGGTATTTGTTATCTGGGACAATAAATATCAGATTTCAGATATCAAATGCAGTCTGAGCAGCACTGGTGCATGCTGCTTCAGAAGCCAGTCGCTGCCAGCCTGGATAGGTAATGCTTGTAACGCAGACACAGTTCCCAGGGGCCAACTCACCTCACACTGAGACAAAAGCTCCCAACTTCTGATAGCTTTCAGTCGGGTTCCTGCCACGGGTCGCATCTGAACCAAAGACCTAGGCATATAATCTTGTTCTCCGTTCCTCCCGTTTGTTATGAGTGCCCCAACCCTCCTGCTGTTATTGCAGAAGATCAATTATGCTGCACCCTATTTATATGAGATTGTCTTTGATAGGTAACCCCTTCAAAAGCTGCATAGGAAAATGGTTTAGAGGAAGGCTGCCTGATAGCCAGAAAGGACACACACTTACCTCTCTGAAATTTCTTGTGCTATGGCATCATTTTCCTTCACAAATTGCAACAGCTCCCTAAAATGAAGAAAAAAAAATGCTATGAAACAACTAATTCAATGGAGAACATTGTCCCTTAACTAAACTATTGCAGAGAATGAGATTAAGGATCTACAGTAGAGCGAGAGACAGGTGGTCCCATTTCAGAGCACGAAAGAAACCCGTCATTCTCAGTTGTTCCGTATCAGTTCTGGACAGCATGCTGAACCTGGGAGCTAACACATTTTTGGACCAGTGATATATTCCTATTTCTCTCATCCGTGCTGCAAATTTAAGTGCCTAGCACCTGCTGATTTCACTGGAGGTGACAGACCTACATACCCCAGTGAAACAGTACTCTGCAAAGAATTTGAGCAAAGGATCCTTTGCGGGCAGTAATAAAGGAAAAAAGGAACATGACCTCCAAGAGCCTTTGTGTAGGAGATGCCTAGGAGTGGAGGCACTTGTTGGAATTGCACAAACCCAACTGCCTTCCCAAGCACAGCAGTGTTTTCCTGTGGCATGCAATGCTCTGCTCAGCACCCTTGGCGTCTCACACCTGACATTAGAGAGGTCTGATCGGACTGGGATGTAGTGGACCCAAGGCTTCAGCTGCGGGTAGAAGAACTCCAACCACTCTTCTCCAACATGAAAGACGAGTGAACCACACAAAAAGAGGTGTTTCAACCGGAAACTGGCAGCCACTCCCCGGAAATTAAATAGATACCTTTAAAAGGAGAAGCAAAGAGAGGCACCCGATTACAACCGGCATTTTGTAAGGGAAAGCACTAAGAAACTGGGCTCCCAGTAGCAGTCAGCCATCCCTCATTGGGAGCAGCTGGGGGGCCTGCCTCACACTGAGCCAAGCACCTGTTGCTGAAACAAAGGGAAGACATTTATTTGAAGCTCCCCACAGGAAGGGGAACTAAGTTCAGGATGCGCTAGGTGAGTTTCTGCTGCCTGTCAAAACTGAGGTTGAAAATCGAGGCATGCTGCTCTACCTCTGATAAAGACACCTGCCTGTGACAAACCAAATGAGGCCCCACAGACAACTGCCAACAAGGCATGGAAGGTGACAACTTGGATGCTGATCCTGTGACTCTTCACTTCAGAGACTGTTACCACGAGGAGCTTTTTCCCAATTCTCTCCTGTCTTGCATTGAGCTTTTCTGTTCATCGTTCTGTTTTGCCTCATCTACCTCAGTTGTTTTCTTTGGCATTTTTTTTTCCCACTGGGATTCTGCTTTAATCTGAACCTGGGAATGCAACCCTAGGAGGTTAAACAGGCTAGCACACAACAGATGGACTTTGCACATAACAAAGAATCCACAATCTTGTTTTCAGTATTTTCTGCCAAGTTAGTAAAGTGGGCTTGACTGGGCAAGAATTTCTCTTAGCAAACTGTATCTCAGAGGGATGTTTGTTTGCTTACTCGCTTACTTTTTTAAACCCACATTTCTGCAATTATATGGAAAGCTGTTTTTCCTGTGGGTAAAACCCCTCAGTGCACATAACTAATCTTTGAAGTCAAACATTTTGGGCTGGGGGAAGGGAGTTCTTCCTTTAATGAAGCTATTTTGGGTGAGATGGGGATTATGTATTACAGATGTTTGGGGTGAGGTGGGAATTATAGCTAAACTTAGTTCAGCAGTAAGTGACAAGGAGTAAATCCGAAATTATTTTGCATTCTTTGTATTACAGAGGAGCTCAAGCTACGGATGAGGAGCTCATTGTATTAGGAACTGAACAAATACATGTAGAGATATAACAAGAACGGTAGTCCGAAAAGCGAGGAAATGCCTCTGTCCAATTCCAGACACAGCTCCCACCATCTGTGACCTCAGCCGAGCCACCGAGGGCTGCTTGCAGGCAGCCTGTTACAGCACCTGTGCTGAAGGAAGCATCAAGAAGTTCATGTTGACCCTACCAGACCCTGGGCTATGACAAAAGTGCATGAGAATGTCTCAGCCTATACTGTACAAGCAGCTTAGTAGGCATCAGGAGTTGGAAAGTCTGTGTGTAACAGAAGGGAGAAATCTGGGCAACAGCCTAGTGAAATATAAAATGAGACAAGTCAACCACATATGCACAAAAACACGGATCCAGCCAAATGACTGAGTCCTTATATCAGCAGATTCTAGCTGGTAGAATCGTAACTAAGTAGTTTTAAAGGAAAAGAAAAAGCGAAAGTATCAGACATACAAGAGCATACACACCAAGAGTTAATATTTTTACACAGAAACCCACAAGAATATTACACCAAAAACCCCTCCCTAAAGTAGTTAAAAAATAAAAACCTTTGTAAACCAAACCCACGTTCTCCCAAACAACACACAAAGGATGAATCAATACTATATCTGCTCAATCGTATTTCAGGTTGTCTCTTTCACTGTATACATCCAATGGCAACACTTGCCCCAGTATGCATATGAAGACATGATTCTTTAGTTCCTTATGTCTTTGAAGACTGTCATGCTATCTCTGTAGCACCGGAAAAAAACAATTTTGAACACACAGCTTGCTACAAGAATATAAAGCCAAACGAATAGAAAGCCTTTTTGATTAAAACAAAATTAAATTTTCAATCTACATTTCAATCTACATTAGTGACCTAAGGCCTTTACCTTCCCCAAAGCACATTATTTCTCCTGACCTGACAGGGGTAAGCTGACACCAAAAGAGGCCATGCTAAGCTCCCAAATTTTCAACTGCCTTAAGTTTGTTCACAAGCTTTCTTGTCTGTATGGAGCTGGTTGCTGGAATTAGACCTTACAATAAAATAAGACCTTACACCATGCAAGGAAAGAAACAACCCATACCCCTTGAACAGCTTTACTAATCAAAAATCTTACTTGTATTTGCAGTGATCAACTAGTGGAATTTCCTTTGCAGGAGGCTTCCCTAAGGTGTCCTTAAAATAAAGAGAATTAAAAAAAAAAAAAATCAGTAAGCTTTATGTGGTGATTTCATATTTGTTTTCCAACTCAGTTAGAAACAAAGCTGAAGTCTCAAAACCCTCTGCTCCCACTTCAGAAAAAAATCTTCTCTGGTGGGCTTTTACAAGTACTATGAAGAATTCCCAGCTCTTCAAACAAGAAAAAAAGTTCAGTAAATTACACACTGCCTGTAAGCAAATGCCAACACAAACACATTAAATGATAATTTTTAGTTGGCAGCTTACAGAGTGGAAAACAGCTTGGGATAATGGACTATGTGAAGCCAAGTGTAACCGGATTAGCCAAGACTGTCTGGAGAGAGCTGGACTGTAGACTAAGTATGGAACTAAAAAGTTATCAGCAACAGTTATCAAAAAGTTATCAACAAGACCAAGAAATGGAGATGACAGAAAAGGGTTTAAAAAGACTGACACCACCACACAGGCAGCTCGGGGCTAGAAGGGAAAGAATTGGCTAATTTTGTTGCAGTGGAAGAGGAGCGGATTGGCACAGGTTCATTTTCTCATGTGTTCTGGTTTTCTTGAACAAAAAGTGTAGCTGGAAGAAAAATGTTTGGCCTGCCAGGCTCTAGAGACGCCTCCCTTTCATCCGTCAGAGAGATGTGGCCATCACGGGAACTACAAGCTTCCCCTACTCTACAGGATCACCCACAACTCTCCAACAAGATGCATCTCAATCACCAAAGCCATCTTGCAATGCTGCCCTTTCTGGCCTTCACACTCAGGAGACAGACAACACCCACACACCTTCTCAGATTTCCAAGCCTGGTTTTTGGTGTACTCAGCATCAACAAGTTCTGGGTTTTCCCGGGACAGCAGAATGAGGGGATCTCTCTCAGGGCTCGTTCTGCAAAAGAGATGCTATCAGTCATTGCCAACGCACCTGACAACACAGCTAACAAACTACAGGACTCAAGATCCTGCTGCTTTATGAGGCTGAACCCCCATGTCCCCCTAAAACGCTATTGTGCCTACCATACAGTGTATTTCTGTCCAAGGGTGTATCAGCAGAACAGAATGAGTTACGTGTACCACAACGATTCGAGGCTCTGTTTCTTTATTTAATTTACTAAATATTTTATAGCATTATTTAAACAATTCCTGGGACAAATCATTAGAGACATGGTTTCCTTCAGGCCTTATCCTGATGGGTGCAAAATACTTGAATGCCCTTCTAAGTCAGAGAGAGCTAAGAGATGCTAAGCATCTTCAGCACTTGATCCCTCTGACACTAATTTAACACTACTGATAAACAAGGTTACGACATCCCTGAGACTCACTCATCATCATCTCCTGAGCCTACCTAGTAAGATATCAAATCCACCCCTGTTGGGGATGCAGGAGGAACAAAGTGTTGGAGGAATAAAAAGGAGTAGGGGTTAACACTGTTTTCAAACTGTCACTGGAGAGGGGGCAAAACCAATCTACCCTCCTATTCCCCTCCACTCGGGTAACTTAATCCAGGAATATACTTGTTGACTCACTGTCAAGCACTTGCATAGAGAATAAAGTATTCACATGGGCAAGAAGCATACACATCAATATAAAATCTTTAAATTTGTATCATGCACCTGCAGTTCCCTTCATGGAACAAAACAAGCTGGTTCCTAGTGTGACAGTTTTGGTCATTAAGAAATATCATGGCAAACCCATCACAATTTCTGTTTCCAGTGTTAGACTTTTATAATAAACTAGTTGCAAATGGCAATTCTCATGGAGAATCACTAACGGTGAAATGCTGCTGTACAAAATGCTTGCTTTCCTTACTTTTAAAAAATACATTCTGGGTTACACTTGTTTAGGTCTTGGAGATGCAGAAATTTCTGCATACAAATCGCTGTCACAGCATACATTGATAGAATCTACTGTTATGGGAAAATATACTCACCTGGATCCTCGGAAATAGCCTTTAGAGATTTTTTTCACCCATGGCCATTTTTCTGCAGATCTGAAAGTATGGTTTATACATGGCAATAAGTGATTTAATATAACCATGAAATAGTGCTCTCATCAGTTTTCACAGCATGATCTCTTTTTATTACTCTTCATTTTTGATGGAAATCACTTTCTTCATTATAGCAGAAGAAACTCTCAGCCAGGTCCAATGAAACAGGTTTTCCTGTGAATACTGTGTGTAAGGCAACGTGATATAGGCTACTTTTCAGAATACCTTTCAGTCAAAACAATGAATTACATACAACCCTCTCACCAAACCTTTAAGGGTATTACAATTTACCTACAATTTGAGCCCACTTTTTGTATTGTTGCTTTATTTTTCTGCATTTCACTGAATAGGGATAGTGCAAAATGACTAACCACTGTCATTTCCCACTAAAAAAAAAATTGAAACAACAGCAAATAAAAAAGCCACTTTGTGTTTTGCTTTTAAAACACAGAAGTTCATTGTTTTCCCAACTAACTTTCAACTTAAATCTAAGCAAGTCCTTCAAAATAGCTGTTCACCTGCTTTATTTCTGTCAGTGCGGCTCCCTGCCTCCCTCTGGGGAACTCTTTGTTGTACTTTTCTGTTGCACCTGGCTTGACATGTAGGTCCTGATGCCCAAACTGATCTGTGCAGGTCAAGCTTTGTATCTCCTTGTAACCCAGTGACACAAACGGGTTCACTGAGAAAGCAAGGATAAGGAAACGCTTTGGACCTTCATTACATTATATCACATTAGGCTTCAGCTATGATCTCACAGATCTTCAGATTTTGAAGAGGGAAACGTTCAGCTTTGCATTCTGATGTCAAGTGATTGTCATCAAAGTGTTTTTTTCTTGTTGTGTTTCTATGTTCACTCATTGCTGCACACTTTGTTTGTGACTCTCCACAGGAAACAGCCCCTTATTTTGCTAACGGTCAAAGATCCTGCCAAAAGAAAGACTCCCAGGCAGAAATGTCTTCTATCTTACTATCAGCCCAGTAATGACTCTTGCTTCTTGGGAACGATTCCAGGTTTCTCTATTGCACAATACTCGAGTAAAAGCAGATCTAAAGGAGGTTTTCCTTTACCCTTCCAGAAGCTTATACAAACATCCTGGATCATCCCTGCAGTGACAAAACCACAGCGCCTACAGAAGTAGTTGAAAACAAAGGAAAATATTTCCATGTGTCAGGGGAGATTCCTGCAAGCAAAAGATAACTGCTACTTTATTGACAAACCCTAGCCCACCAAAAATGATAGCACTCTGGCCCTAACAGCATGAACAAAGTGTATACTTTGTCCTCTGCATTTCTTACTAAAGTGTTAGGAACAGAGAAGCTAATTATAACTTCTAGTTACATCATCCAAGGTTTCCATGGAGAATTCTTATACAGCAGTTAGGCCGTATGTTGTCAACGACAGGCAGCAGGACAGACCACAGACCAACAGACCTATGGTCTTGGACTTCAATGTTGGCCCAATGCTGCCCCGTGCTAGATGGCTTTTACAGTGAGCTTGTCTTCCATTAAACCTCCCCCCACACATAACCATTTCCAAAACATACCTTCTGAGGTCCTCTCTCATGAGGTCCCAGCGCCCTAAACCTGTTGGGTAAATTGGCCAAACAGCTGGTCCTCCTTCCCAAAACGTCCAGGCAGGATACATGATATCATTGTATTCAGATGTCTTTAAGAAAAAGGAGAATAATAACAGAGTAATATTTACTTCAGTCGCTGACTGAGCTCACCAGCAACAAACATCCCTTCTAGGAATTGTGACAGCTTTCTCTGTTACTGTTCCATAAGCAGCCATGAGAGCTTTGTGGTCACCACGGTGTTGCTGGGGTTCACATTAAGACAAACCAACAGAGTACAGCCAGTGTATTTCAGCATGCATACTTGCTCTGAGTGGGCCACTGGACCATACAACCTCCTAAAGCCCTCTCCAACCAAAATGTTTCAAGGATTTAAAAAGGCTATGTCTTGCTGCATGACAGCATTGGACTTTCATGTTAGAAAATAACAAAAAAGTTCCATGGTATAGCTGATTAGTAAATAGCAGAAGACCTGAGCTCCACTCACCTTTCTAAAGACTTGTGTCTATGTGTAGCTACTGATCACAATTTGAGGCAGCATTATCTCCTCAGAGATCAGAGGCACTTCTAGACAATTTGACATTTAGATTTATCAACACTTCAGTTCATTCCAGCCTTCCTAGAGATCACTTAAAAATTCACTGTCACAAATACCCACATCATGTAAGAATTTCAGTTCTTTGGTCCTATTTGGATGCTTAAACTCCCATTTAATCATAAGGAAGACCAGCACTTAAGACTAAACCCTTTCATGAATGCAGACTATAGGTCACTTTCCTGTACTATTAATAAACTTTTACACAAATTATCCATCTATCGGTCACTGCAGATGCTGAAGAGTCCAAGGACACCAATGTAGTTAGGAGGTTGGTGCACATGACATATAAACAGGGGCTGAGGACTGAGTTTGTTCATGCACAAGAAAAGGAGGCTTGGGGAAATGTAAATGCTGTCTCCTACTGCCTAATGGGAGAGTTTAGAGAAGACAGAGGCATACTTTTCAGAATTGCACAGAGACAGAACAAGAGGCAACAGGCATTTATTACAAGAGGGGAAATTCCAATTAGATATTGGGAAACACGTTTTCATTCTGAGGGAGGTCAAACACCGGGGCACGTGCCCAGGGAGACTGTGGACGCCCTGTCCTCAGGGATGCTCAGAACTGGGCAGGACACAGACCGGAGCACCCTGATCTAGTTGGTCCTGCCCTGAGTGAGGTGCTAGACTGGGTGACCTCCTGAAGTCCCTTCCAACTTATAAATGAGTGTGTGATTCTATGACCTGCTCCTTCTCAATCTTGCTATAAACAGGCACTGATAACAAACCACGACAGCTCCTCCACCACCCCAGGGTTGGCCTCGCAAGATACAGAACTGGACAGTCCTGCAATCCCTTATGCTTTCAGCCTTAGAAAACACCCTGCACCAGCATCCTGAAGCTTTTCTCGTTCTGGCAGGGACTAACACTGTCTGGTTAAATGTGAGCTGTGCTTGGGTAGCTGGGTTTCAGTCAAGGATAGGGCTGTGGTTACAGTTCAGATATTGGACAATGGTGATCAGAGAACTCAGTTTCTTGCAGGGCCCTGCATGGCACCCAGGGGCAGGATGATGAATATGGCTGCAAAGATTAAACTCCTGCAACCTGCTCTGCATCAGTTTAGGTTCTGCTGGCTGGAGTTAAGGCTGTGCAATGGCCAAGGGGCAAGACAGCCAGCTTTACTACAACATCCAGCAGCGAACATGGTTCTTGAATAGCAGTGCTTGCAATGCTGTACTGAAATTCTAGAGAGAGTTTTAGGATGGCTGGGGACTAGGCAATAGTTACGGACTGTACGAGGGTTCAGACTGCAGGGTTCAGACTGCATGAGCTGAAGACCTAGCTAAGATGCTACAAGTTAGCTAAAAGAGAATAGGGCCTGAACTAGCATGAGCAAATGGTTTATTGCTTCTTTTGCATCTTACTGTCTGCTGGGCTTCAGACAAAGACAGGATCATGATCAGGGTTAGGCAGCGAGTGTGCAGGATTTGAGCATGTTGGGCATACACTAAGGCAAAGCAAAATTAGCTGAAGCTTTAGGTGCAACAATATTTTATTTGAAAGGATAAGACACTATGCTACAGTCAGGCTTAACAATGTGAGAAGCAGAAAAACATATGGGAGGGCTCTCCAGTCTGGGAACAGAGATGCAGAGAACAAATGTCTCAGTGTGTGCAGCAGTGCATGTGTGTACATGGTTGGAGATGGAAAAGGGAATCCAGGGTAAAAGAGTTCACAGGAGACAGCAACATTACAGAAAAGAAGATAAGAAACACTTATGTGTGGTACCAAAAAAGAGGACTAAAATACTAATATTAAATGAGATTAATTGTATGACAGCTGACTGATGATCAAAAATCCTTAACAATGCTGATAAACCACAGCTACAATTTTAACAGAGGCATTGTAGCAAATGACAGCAATGCTGGCACATATTCTGTCCAGCTGTGCATCATTCCACTGTGGCAGAGGTACATTTTTTGACCTGGAAGAGGAGCTAATGAGGGGAAAAACTGTTCTATTTAATAAATTTGAAAGTCTGTCTGCCAGAAAACTGGAAGTGAAAGGAAACAAAGAGCAAAAAAAGAGCAAGCAATTTTGACACACATAAAATCTGTGGGGAACCACCCTCAAAAATACATTCCAAGAAAAAGGAGGACATGCATGTATCAGAAATGCTCAGCTTTTAAACGTGTGTGCACCTTACTGAAGGAGAAGACTGGGATAATAGGTTTCATCCACTTGGGGACCTGTGGGTAGTCTCGCACATTGATCACCATTTCCATGTCAGGAAGGCGGCTGATGATTCCCAGAAGGAAGTGCTCAACTCCACTGCATCTGTGGAGAAATGACACATGGCAAAGAGCTATAAGCAGAAGGCAGAACCCTACAGTCTCTTGCAGGCCTTTCTCTCTGCACAGGAGCAAAAGAGATGGTGAGCCTGAGCCATAACACGAGGCAGGGTGGGAACTGCCTATAGCAGCCTCTAAGCCCCAACACAGTACAGACACCAATGGAGCAACCCATCTTGTTAAATCTCGCCTCATCTGGAGCTTTCTCCACAACCAACCAACTCTTTGTACAGTGAAGTGCAACAATGACACTTACCTCTTGCTACATTTAAGCCTCATAGATAATTTTCTAGGCTCCTGCTCTGATAAGGAATTCAGACCTTTGAAATATCATTGTGCTCAATGACTTTCAACTTGGCAGAGTCCTGTGTACCAGCTAGGAAGTCAAGATCTTCTGCACAGCTCTTACCTTGCGGGGAACAAGCAGTCCTGCTCACGGTACAATTTGCTGTTAATGATTTGGTAGTGTGTCCCAAGCTTCCGGCTCACCACATCTGATATTATCTCCTTGGAAATGCCACCCCGAAAAGGAGCCAGGTCCTGCTTCCAGACACTGAAACAAAACAATCAGCCATTATTATGTACAATAGGGAGGATACTGTGCATTAAATTCCTGCAGTATACAGAACAGACTTCTAGCTAAAACAATCTCTGTGTAGCTTCCAGGAGCCCTGCTATATGTGGCATAAGGAGAATTTAATTTAAGTCACTTGGAAGAGCTGTTGCTCAGAGACTTAAAGGTCCAGACTTCACTCTTTGACTATCTGTGTGCTTTTTGCCCAAACAGAAAGCTCAGCACGGGACTCTGGGGCTAAATCAACACGGACAACTCTAGTTGTTCTCCCAGAAAGCACAGTAGCTACCCTGGCAAGTTATGGGTAAAAGCCGTCTGCTCACTTAACCTTTGAGCTGCGAAGCTTGTGCTCTGGCCTTCCATGAATGAGGGGCCGCACCAAAACCAAATTCCTCACACAATGTTGTGCCGTTTTGACATTAAAAGAGAAGGTAAGAGTCAAGCTGCAAGCCAGCCCAGGAGAACAGGTCTATGTAGCACATGTGGTATGTAGCACATATTCTGTGGCATCTGCACATCACCAGTGAGCTCCAAGAATGAAGTATAAAAACATAAACCTAACAAATATAAGAAAATACAGAAGGAGGATGCAGTTATATAAATTTAGTCTAAAGGTCCTCCGATCTAACTGCTTGGAGCATTTAGCAAACACTGTCAGCTTGTAACAGCCATGGAGACATCTTCCCCACTTTTGGCAGACACTGCATCAATGCCTTAGTTTAAATACAACACTGTATGACGGTCAAACGCTTCCACAGGTTGCCCAGAGAAGCTGTGGAGTCTCTGTTCTTTGAGATATTCAAAACCGATTGGACACAGTACTGGCGATCCTGCTTGAGCAGAGGTGTTGGACTTAATGATCTCAAGAGGTCTCCTCCAACCTCCAGGATTCCTCTATTTTGTAATCAGGTGGAAAACGGTTAAACTACATAAAGAATTGCCACCAAAATTATGGGCTGACCACAGGATAAGCAATCTGGCAGGGATGAAAATATAATGAGCTTGAGAACAGAATGAAAGTTGCCATTTTATGGCACATCCATGTCACTGTAACATAAGTGACAACTGAAAGGTAGCAACAAACAAGTTAGGACCTTCAGTCCTTGGACAGAGTCACAGAAAACTAGACAGAAGTAGAATCTGTAAATATGGGGAAAAGTGCTGGCTTTCAGTGTTCTGATGCATATTTATATACCTCCAAATCAGCTATCAAAATGAACCAAGTTTCTTAAGTGTCGTATAGCACAGGTGTGTCATGGTTTAACCCCAGACAGCAATGAGCACCCCACAGCCGCTTGCTCACTCCCTTCTAGCCCAGTGGGACGAGGGAAAGAATCGGAAGGATAAAAGTGAGAAAACTGATGGGCTGAGATAAAAATAGTTTAACAGGGAAAGCAAAAGCCACACGCGCAAGCAAAGCAAAACAAAGAATTCATTCACTGCTACCCATTGTCAGGCAGGTGTTCAGCCGTCTCCAGGAAAGCAGGGTTCCATCATGTGTAATGGTCACTTGGAAAGACAAAATGCCATGACTCCAAACATCCCCCCCTTCTTCTTCCCCCAGCTGCATATGCTGAGCATGACACCCCATGGTGTGGAATATCCCTTTGCTCGGCTGGGGTCAGCTGTCCCAGCTGTGTCCCCTCCCAGGTCCTTGTGGACCCCCAGCCTGCTCACTGGTGGGGTGGTGTGAGAAGCAGGAAAGGCCTGGACTCTGTGTGAGCACTGCTCAGCAGTGACTAAAACATCCCTGTGGTATCAACACTGTTTCCAGCACAAATCCAAAACATAGCCCCATACTAGCTACTATGAAGAAAATTAACTGTCTCAGCCAAAACCAGCACAACCTGCTGTATTATCTTGTCAGATTCTTTTGTAATGCCTGTCACTACAGCAGTACTCCTTAACAACCTTTAAATAAATTACTGCTTTAGTGAAAACTAGGTTTCAAGAGCCACAGCAACCATAACTTCAGGTTACTATTGCCTATTGTGTTCTGAAGCAGGTTTGGAGGTTGTAACCACTTGGGAAGGTGTTCTTCCCAAAGCTGGGCAGGAGATGATGGAATGTATATGCAAAGATTAGGAGGTGTCTTTAGGCTGTACCTGAATTGGAATGCAGGAAAAAGACTGGAAGGCTAAACTAGAAAATATTTTCCTCATCAATATTTCAAGAGCAATGAAGATAAAAAACTCCAGAGTGTACAAACAGTTGCCAAACATGACTCATCTGATCCTAAAAGCCAAATACATCTATTATTTTTTAAATAAGAGGCTTAAAGTTGGGCATCTGTATTTCTGCATTTGGAATACAAATCCTAAGGACAAAAGAATATTTTGACTCTTCCCTGTATTCCCTCTTCTCCTTTAAATAAAAACACCACTTAAAGACATCAGAAAAACACAGTCCTACAGTCCCTACCCACAAAACAGTGATGACCTATGCACCTGTAATATCCTCCATGCTGAAGTCATGCTCTACCACTGGGAACAGAAGGGAAGTTTGCTTTGGCTGTGTCTACACTTGTACCGCCTACAGTGGTCTTGCATCCACATACAAGACTCTAGCTCTCTGCACTAAATCAGTGTAGGAAGATTAGACATTTTGCATAATGCTCCATAGTTATACAAAAACTAAACAGGACTCGTGTCTTTCTAAATGAGCTCCTCTTGGATCATACTTTGGTCATGTGAAAATCAGGCAGTTAAATATCCACTGCCACCCCAACTCTCACAAGCAGGGAGATAAACTCCCCTAGAACGAGCACTCTTCCAATTCTTCCCTCCTCTCTTCCACTGGAAACCTTCTCCAAGCACAGGGAGCGAGAGTACAGCACACTATCACACCTAATGAATCTGTGTTCTGTAACAATCTTTCTTAATCTAGCCATTTTACAATATTTTGCACTTCTTCCACTTTTAAAAGCCCATGAGAAAGACTTGTTAGCAACATCACACTGAGAGAAGGCAGAAGCGGATTGTTAACACAGAAATATCACCATGTATGGGTTTACTATGTGATCATATATGAGATGCCAACATAGTGTTTGTTGTTCAATCACAGAGAATAAGGAGACTGATCACTTTGTGGGTGGACGCACCTTCTATGGGAACTATAGAGGCCAACCTGCTTCACACAGTGCCATTAATAGCCTCCCTCTTACGAGCACCGTGACCTGTGATGGCTGCAGATGGGACACTTTAGACCCCAAATATTCTCTAGCTAATTCCCAGCCATCAGTGCTGGCAAAGCATCCCCTCCCGTGGCCAAAGGCTTGTGCATTCAAACGGAAACCAGTCTCTCACCTCTGGTGGCAGCTGCAGTTCTCCTTTACACACGGCTCATAGCCTTCCACGGCTTTCTCAATTTGCTCGGTTATCGTTTTCCATTTGGCATCTAAAACACACCAGGGAAGGAAAGGAAAAGTTTAAAAGGAATAAATCCATTACACTACCACAGCAACTAGGAAGGTTGGGGGAGCGGGCAGGGCACCCCGCCGCGGCC